TTTACACTCTTAGACGCTTTAGACCAACACATTTTCGCATTTTAACGCAAGTAACCTAAAAACCAAGACTTACATATATATTCGCATACTTAATAACTACACGTAGAAACGCACACTTATATCACTTTACGTTTAGAAGCGAACTGTTCTTATATACCAAATAACAAAATTTTTCACAACTTGTGAGAAATGATTTTGCACTAATAACTACTTTTTAATTAGCGAGAAATATAAAAGAAAATATATTTTCATCGAGGTCAATTTCTAGACGCAATTCAACTGCAAATTGTTAGTTAAGTTAAATATTCACATTACACATAATAGTATATAGGGATATGTATAGCAGACAGCAAAAACACATGGACTATAGAGAAACCGGAAGAAATGCGCATCGGTACACTGCGCAACAATGCGCTAGTGAAGAGCGCCGATTTAGAATACGAGTCAACTAACGTTTCACAAACTTTCACTAATGATTCGTAAACATTCAAACATCCATTGATAACAATTCAGCATTAAATCTAAAACAATTGGTCACATACTGGCATTCTAATCAATCCATGACTAGTTTTCAATCGTTAAGTAACCATCAACGGAAAAAGAGTCCCGTCTCAAAGTAATATACTAATCCATTAATGGTTGATGGACTTTTTCTTTCCGTGTATTATTCCTAAACTTACACTAACGATAATACACATACAGAGAACGACGTAAAACGCTACGCACATATATAATTAACGATAAAATAAAAAACACAGACGTTCTTTATATACTAAACAGGCAGATTTTTCTGTGCTTGTGAGAAACTTGAAATTATTTTGTAAACTATTTAGTAATAAAAATAAGATTAAAGAATAATCAAATATTATATTATCGTTTGAAGAACAATTTTTTTATTATATTTTCAAATAAAATCTTCTCAAAATTTCATTGTAAAAATAAATAATATTTTGTACTAAAAAATTAAAATAACGTTTACCCGTAGAAGGCAAAGTAGGGAACTTGTAAATGAAGCTGGAGAAACAGTTAAATTTGCCAGTTTTCTACTTTACCCTTTTCGCCCTAGGCGTCGTAAATGTCTTCGTTTATACTCGTCAGAGTTTTTGACATTTTTTTTTACCAATTTGTGAAGAAGAAATTTACAAAATAACTTATACTCTATTATAACACCTGAAACAGTGCGTATTACAATTTCTCACTAATAGTTGTCGTACCAAAAGTTTGAAAATTTGAAACGATTATATGTGTACTTTATTATATTTATTTTAAGCATTCTTAAAGGGAGTAACGAAAATAATGACTAGTGCAAAAATGTCTTACATTTGAAACAACTATAGGGAAAATTATTATTTATACTTTTCTCTCAGTGTACTACTATATAGTCACATCAGTGGTAGTTCTAATTCGACCACCAGATGCGCTAGTTTAGCTGTTTGAATCGCCAATAGTGAACAAAGAAGTTACTTCCCATGCAGTGGGAATAAAAAAATTCTGTTAAATTTCTGTCAATATTTCGTTGGCTTGGTGGAAAGCTGTACCATTTCAAGAATTCGTTATAAATAATACCATTTCGATGAAGATCTATAGAAATATTGAACTAAAGAATTCCTAATGATTAGCAAGCAATTGTTTTAAATCCATAGAAATTTTGATTAAATACATTAATAAGATAGGCATGAATATTTTTAAGAAACTTATTTTTAAAAAAAGCCATAAATTATAAAAAGAAGTACAAGAACATAATACCTATAGAGTCATAAAGAGAATATAGTAATATTTGTAGCTGATGGTAGATGGCATGAGTGTGTATCACTGTAACTTGAGGTACAAGCTTAAATATTATTTTATTTATTTAACATTCGTAAAAGCCTAACGCAATTACGAGCTACATGCAAGATTTCATTAAAAATTATTATTTTTAACTAATTCGGATTTAAAAAGCAAAAAAAAAAGATGAATAAATTTAAACTAGAATTTACTCAAATAAATTTTTTTAGATAATTTATTACTATTTTATTACAATTATAATATAATAATTTAAAAAATGTATATTTATTGAAATTCATGGCACAATCCCATTTTCATGAATTTCGAAAAATTTTGCAAAACATTCAACCAAAGTTTTGAAATACATTCAAAGAATCAATGTAGAACATTAATTAAAGATAACTTAAAACAAGTTGTTCATTTTATGACCATTTAGCTTCCTCAATATATAAAAATTGCGGTTTTGCAAACTTTTGAAAAACTATGTACAAAAGGGTTCGTCTAGAAGATTTGTTAAAAATAAAATTATATAAATCATTTATAAGTTGTTGTATAAATATTTGGTGAAATTTACACTTTTATTTGACAATTGCTTCTATTTTATGATAGAATAATCATTTCAAAATATTAATATTAATATTAAATTAATTATAAAAAAAATACAAAATTTGAATTTTTTGTAAAAAAGAAAAATATTTATTAATTTTATAAATTTTGATAAAATATATACTTTGTATACATCAATCGATTCGTTTTCTTGTCAGGAATGTAATTTTGAGAATAATTAATAAAAATATTAACAAATAAAAAAATTATTTCAAAAAATACAAAAAAAATTTTTTTCTGAATTTTAAAAAAATTGTATAAAAAAAAATTTTGTAGATATTTTTGAAAATCCTTGTGTCAGATTTTAGGTATTAATGACTGCAATAAACCTGCAAAATTTCAGGACAATCCATCAAAATTTGTATGAGATAATTTGTACACAATTTTTGTGACACACACACACACACACACACACACACACACACACACACATCTGGACATTTGCTCATAATTGAATATACATATGTTCTAGATGAAAATGAGTCCATATAACCTTCTTTTGGAAAATTGAAAATCGTCACCAATGCAAAGCTTCCTCATGAGGAAGCAAAAGAAATTTATATACAAAGATTAAGAGAAAAGTTAAAAATTATTTTATATCCACAGATGTTGGATAACAATTAAGAAAGTAAAAATTAAACACATAGTATACTTTTCTTAAGTTATGAAATAATAAACTTTGGTACTCTAGTTTTTCAAGTTGAATAAATAATCCTATAGCTTTCACTTATTCTTTGAAAAATAATAGTTTTCTGATGAACATCTAAAATAACGGTTTTTTAATCTCAGCATTTTGAAATAACAGCTGTCAAGTATTAGATTAATGAGTAGATAGATATTAAAATTTGTATAATCAGTTTCATTGCACAAAATAAGTTTCCACATTTGAACAATATTTATTACATTTTTCACATTTATGTACGCCGCGTTTTATCATTTTTTGAACCTGTTCTTAACTCTAAAATTAATTTTTGATATTACTTATATTCAAAACTTTACTCTAGAACGATACTGAACGATAATGTTTTAATATATTGAGTTTCATTTTGAAAAACCTTTTTGTACACCACATATAATAAATAAAATGGAGCATTTGAATTCGACAATTTTTAAACTAACAAGTTTTTTAGAGAACAACAACTGTCTCTAGTATAAGCCAAGTTTTGTTGTTGCTGTAGTGTTTGTGGCCCATATACAGGACAGTGACATCAAAAGTTAAGTGAGTGTTGTTACCAGCTTTTAAAATGATTCAAAGATTGAGCTTGCAAGAATATTTTCCCGAGATCTGTATTTTAAAAGAACCTATTTATAAGAAGTTTTATTTAAACAGCATAAAAAAACAGTAAATTTTCCAAGCCAACACATATCAAAAATCGTTTCTCATCTTTTCTCAAGAAAAAAAACCAATTAATAATTAAATAAAATATTCTTTTTAAAATATTTTTTTTGTTTAAGACTAATGTCTAAAAATTTGAAAAATTAAGTATGGCTTATGACTGGGTACAAGTTTTAGCTTTATAAAGTTATTTTGTCTTGCTCTTGCGTAAAACATAAAAAATATTCTTTTTATTTAAAATATAATCTTCAAAAAATTTATAGACGTAATTTTAATGATAAATAAAATAAAGTAGATGATTGATAACAATAATACTTATTTGAACCAAAATTTAAAAAAAATAAAAATGAAGAAAATAATGAATAATAATAATAAAAATAATAATGATAATAATTACGTATTATAACAATAATGACAATAATAATAAGAGAACCTAGCAAATAATTGTTGCATGAAATTATGTAATAAATAAATTAAAAAGTAGAATCGTAAAATTTTCTGAATTCAAAATTTTTGAGAAAAATGAGAGTTGCCTGTTGAGAATATAAAATAAATGAAGAATCTAGATAATTTAAGCACGATTGAATGGAAAGGGAAGGATTAACATTTAAACTTTTAATTGAAGTCCTCGATTAACTATTGATTCAGTTTAACCAACAGCTAGTTAGGCGGTCTAGAATACTTTTTGCTATGAAATATTCACAACAGGCCTCTACACAATTATTTTTTGTGCAACTTATTTTTTATGCACGAAACAATAAACGTATTTATAGAAAATTAAATTAGCCTTATCACTTTCGTACTCGATACGAAAAGGCCAACGTTGTTATATGTACTATACTTTGGCATTGAAGAGTGACTAGTGAGTGGTGTTGTCGACCATCAATATAATTTTACACCTTCGAATATGTACAACAATTTAAACAATTCCTCTCGTCATGTACAATAGTTTTGCTAACCTTGAGGGATGAAATAAAATAAGAAAGAAAAGAAATAGTTGATCACAAAAGAAAATGATTAAAAATACGTTACTGTGTGCCAGCGTTTTTAGAGCCAATTGTAAGAACCGGGTACAATATGCTTACAGTTCCATTCTATTTTAGGAGATAAGAATCATTAGTCATCGGTCATGCAGCCCGGAAGATGCAAATTTCAATTACAATCTATCATAATGTTCTCTAATTAAGAAATGACGTGCATTGATAAAATTCTCTTGTTACTCCGACAATAAAAGAGAGACGAATCGAAGAAAAATTCGTTTTCGCTATAAAATAAAATGTTTTCTAATTACCTCTCGCTCCTCGTACTGGATCTCTTGATCTTCACGTTCGATTGAGGTGTTGTGACACAATCATGATCTTTTTTTGGGACTTTTGCAGCTTCCAGTCGAGCCGCGAATTCATTCGTTTTGCACGCCGTCTGGTTCTCAGTGACACCCAGCCATCTTGTGTGCCGCCTGGTTTTTCGACTGGTCGACCTGGTGCGCCGCGTCCATCCACTTTTACTCACAGTTTTCGCCACTTTTCACGCACCTCACGACCTTGCATCCCGAAGAGACACATTTCACACTTGCATTTCTCTTCTCTTCCACGTATTTTCCTTCAATCGTGTGAACCTCACAGTTTCCCAAAAACGGGTAAACCACGAGTGATTATCCCCGATTTACCGAGACTTTACACATATTTCTTGTTTGATTCCTCGTCGCGCCACCGCACGTCTGCAATCGAGGAATCGCTCGGGCTCGACTAGTTGGTTCGTTCGGCTCGCACTCGGATAATTTCGGCTGATTTTCCATGAGGCGCCTGCGCAATAATTCTTCAACCATCAGGACCGTCATCTTAAAGGGAGATTTCTGCGACAGAACAAATTTTAAAATAAACAAATTTCAAAAAAGGATTTTCATTATGATTGTCAACCCAAACCCGAGGGACTTGGAATTTTGGTGCAGGAGTAGCGGTCATCGATTGCGCATCTAATTAAGCAATTTTTTATTCAAACACTATCATTTTCAAGATTTTTTTATTAAATTCAGATTCAGTTTTAAAAAATTTCTATTTAAAGCTTTTACTTTCAATATATCAGGAAATGCTTAACTTTTTATCGTTCAATATTAATTTTTACTCAAAAATTTATTCAAAGAATATCGCCATATTCACTTTCAATGCGACAAAGTACTGGATATTTAAATTATTTTTATTAGCAAATTTTTCTTTGCCATTGTTATACTTTAAAAAATTTGCTTTTTGAAATATAAAAATTCTTCATTTTTTAAAAAACATATTTTTTCTTTAAATTTAATTATTTGAACAACTCTTATAGAAATCGCCAAGATATTTCTAACTTGAATGTAAAATATTTTTGATTAAATAATTAAACTTTTGAGTACCAATGTACCACTCCTAGTGAAAAGTTTCTTCTAAATTTTTTTAAAATTCAATTATATTTTCCAAAGAATTCTTAAAAAATACGATTATATTTCAAAATAATTTTTAAAAGTAAAGAAATTAAATTCATTATAAAATATAACATTTATTTTAATGAAATTTGACAAAATTTTCAATTTTTTAAAATTCTTTTCGGAAATATAATTATTTTTAGAAAATTTTAATTACATTTTTTCAAGAAACAATTTTTAGAAAATTCTGAATTTAATTATTCAAAAATTCAATACTTATACTTTTTGTTAAACAAAAATTTAAAAACTTATTATTCTTATTTATTTTTCCACCAGGAATTAAAATTTCAAATAGTTTCAATGAAAAACCTCATAAAACTTAATTATTTCTAAAAATTGCAACTGTAATTCTTCCAAAATTCAATTATTTTTTTAGAATTTTTGAATTAAATTATTCAAAACATTAATAATTAAAAAAAATAATTTTTTAAAATAAAAATTTTAACATTTTTATACTATTGATTTTCTTAAATTTTTAAGGAATTTTATTTAAAAACCTTTTAAAATTTAATTAATTCCTAAAATTTCTGTTATAACGCTTTAGATATTCAAATATTTTCTAAAATTTTAACTGAACACTTTTTTAAATAAATTGCTATTAGAATTCAACGACGAGAATTGATTTAAATAGAATAATTTTTGTAATTCAATTTCAATTATTTTTTTGTAATTTTTGAATAATATATTTAATTATTCAAAACTTTTAGTTTTTAAGAAAGCTATATCAAATTAATAATCTTTTATATTTAAGATACTTTTACAGGGTGTCTACAACTAATCTGCAAAAAATTTCCCTGACATTTCCAGGTTTTCCAGACCTTCAAAAATTTTTTTCCAGGTTTTAAGAATCGACATAATAAGGGATTACAAAAAATACATTGCTTAAATTTTATTTGATAACACTTATAAATGTTATAAATTATGGATATAAAATTAACATTTTTAAACAAACTAGCAGGGCTCAAACCAGTGAAAAAATGAAAAATTACTGACCATTTACGAACAAAAATATAACCAGTCCGAGGCAAATAAAAGAACATTTTACTTAAAACTATAAATTTCATTTTCAAATAAATTTTTATTAGAATTCAGTTATTTAAATACAAAAATAAATAATTTATTGAATTATTGAATGTTTCTTAAAATTTAATTCTCATAAAGAATTTTACCAACAAATTTTTAAGAATAATTACATTTTTCGAAGAATACGATTAAAATTGTATTAAAAATAATTGAAATTATTTGATTATTCTTATTATTTATGAAAATAATTGAATTCCTAAAAAGAATTTTATTATATACGAAAATAATTAAGGGGCTGGATGCTATAAGATACGCGCAATGTTAAGTGAATGGCGCGTATTCCCTTATAGTACCCAGCCCCTCAATTGAATCCGAGTAAAAATTTTATTATTTATGAAAATAAAAAAATTGAATTATTGCTAAGAAATTTATACAGATTTTGTAAATAATTGAATTCCTGTGAAATGTTTATTATTTCTTGAAAATAATTAAAATGTTTTTAAATGATTAGATTCTTTTGAAAAAATTTTATTGAAATAGTAGATATTGAAAAACATTGAAATGAGGAACACTTTTGAAAATAATTGAAATTTTGCCAAAAATTTTATTAAAATTTTTGAAAATAATAGAATTTTACTATTTATAAAAATAATTGAAATTTTGACGTGAATTTTAAAAAATTTTTGAATATAATTGAATTTTTGCGAAGAATTTTATTACTTTTGTAAATAATTGAATTTCTCTGAAATTTCCCAAATTATATCGTACAATTTATAAACTTTTCGTTCTTTTTGAATCAAATTACGGACTTTACGGACCTTTTTTTAAAAAAAACTGACTTTTACGGACCTAGTTCAAGCCCTGAATATTATATATTTTAAAAATAAATTGACTTATTTTAGGAAACGAATTTTTTCAATGCCATTATTTATGTTTTTCTCTTGATCTTTCAGAATTTTAAGTGGTCAAGCTTTTTCTACTTGATTATATGTATGTCTGTGGTTCATAAATTATTTCTCAAAATAGAATAGAATTGCAAATTAGAAAGGCAATGTTAATTATTACTATTAATTTTCTACTAAAAATTTGTAAAATTAATTGTGCGCATTAAAAATATTGTTCAAGTGTATTTCAAGTCATGAATTTATCATGAAAAAAATTCCCTGACATTTCCCGGTTTTCCAGGACATTTTTAATTTCCCTGACATTTCCCGGTTTTCCAGGTGTTGTAGACACCCTGTTTTACAGCAAATAGAATTTCAAAGATTGAAATTTAATTATTTCTAAAGAATCCTACTTAAACATTTCTATATTATTTACTAAAGTTTTAACTAAAATTCTTTTTTAAATCAATTCTTATCAGAATTCAATTATTTAAATTCAAAAATATATTTATTTTTGTATTTAAATAATAAATAAATTAAATAATTCATAGAATAATAAAATATTTTTAAAAATTGCAACTGTAGGGGAGACTGGGGCGAAAAGTTAAACTGCCAAAACAGTTAAAATTCATTATCTTTCGAACGGAAATAGTTAGACCATTGCAATTTTAATTATAGAAGGGTGTTATCACCCTAAATAAATGTCCGGAGTTATGTGACATTCTGTTCATTTTTGTGGTGTCCATATTTAAATTTTTTTTCACCCTACTTTTGAAAATTTTTTCGTAAAAGAAAATATCAACTTTTATATAAGTATATTTTTTGAATTTATTCTGATCGCGATTTTTTTAGGTCCTTATTTGGGTCCCCTGAAGAGATACCTAAAGGCATTTGCTAAATATCTTTAGTCAGATTTTTTATATTTGTTGTTAAAGCCAAAAATGCACCCTGGGGCGAAAAGTAAAACGTAACATTTAGTTGTTTCAGGTGTCACAATTCAGTAACATTTATCAGCTATGTTTTTATAACAGATAACCTTAAATTTTTTTAAGTGTATTTGTTTGTTGTTCGTTAAATAAAATATTGTTTTAATCAAAGAGTGAACTATATATAGTAAATTATAAATAAATTATATCTTTGGAAGGAAAAATGTCTTCTTTTTAGCAAAAATTATTTATTTACACACATGTTAAGGCAATTCACAAACTTTTTGACTTGTGATAAATTAACTTTTTGTACACTGAAATTTTTCAACAAAAATTAGCGTTCAGCAAATATGATTATTTATTTCTTAAAAATTGTCTTCACTTGTTGAGTAAATAGTTATACTAATTTGTAAATGGATGAGTTTTTAAAAAATTTACTTTGATAAAATAAAAGCGAGATAATTTTTTATTATTTGAAAATGCGTTTGTGAAAAATCAATTTTTTTACATTATATTTATTTTTCAAATAAAAGGAAATACTTTTATAAAAGTGAACTATAGAGTTCACATTGAAAAAATGGCAAATTATGTTTTTACATATAGGAAATTTTTGTCTGAGAACAAATGCTAAAACTGCACTACCTGATTTAAATGATATGAAATTGGTAAACAATCATTTTCGAACGAGTATTTCTCACTACACGGGAACTTTCTACAAAATCTGCCCACGAACCAATGACATAAATCTTCTTAATTATCTAAATTCGAAAGATTTTTTTAATCCTTTCTTAAAAAAGACATGGAGTGGAAAGGTCGAATGTATCGAAAAGTATCGAAGTAAAGAATGGGCAATGAGAATGCAAAATCTTAATAGAAGGGTGTTTTTAAAATTGTTTGTACATGTGAAGGTGGCGCTGCAGTCGTATGTTATTTAAAAAGAGCGCGAATATATAAATTTTATTTTTGTTAAGAGAAAGTACTCATAATAAATCTTATTTTGCATTGTCAAAAAAAAACGTCAACATTTCAAATATAAATAAGCAAATTATTAACTGAAAAAATTTGAATATTATTATTAATGAAATAATGGACTTGGACAATGGACATATAAAAACTAGCACCATAGACGGTCGCTTGCGGCCGTCGGAGGAGCTAGTCCTTTCAGAAAACATGGTTGCAAAATGGGAAATACAAAAGTAATGTAATGACAGGCGGAAAGATGTTTATTACAGCCATTTGCCGTTAGAGGGCAGAAGCATGCAGCGAGCGTAAAGGTTCAGCTGTTAATATTATATTCGCATTACATTGCTACAGTATTTCCCATGTTGCAACCACTTTTCTGAAAGGATTAAAAAAATCTTTTGAATTTAGATAATTAAGAAGATTTGTATCATTGGTTCGTGGGCAGATTTTGTAAAAAGTTCCTGTGTGAAGAGAAAAACTTGTTCGAAAATGATTGTTTACCAA